TTTCAGCCTTTCTAGTAAGGTGGGTCTAGTGGTGATGAACTTCCTCAGCTTTTGTTTGTCTAGGAAAGTCTTAATTTCTCCTTCATTTCTGAAGGGTAACTACTGAAACTCAATGTTAATATCTACAATATAGGTCAATAGATTTTCCTAAAACATTTTACTTCATTAATATGTTATCTACCTATCAAAATTCATGCCCCAATCTATCCATTCTAGACTTTTTTTTTTTTTTTACTTTTGTGGCCTTAAATATGAATTCACCTTTGTCCTGTGGATTTATTTATTTGTATTTTTATGTGTATTTCTTTTAATTCCAAAAAAGTTTAGCAATGGCATCCTGCATGAAATTAACTTATCCAAAAGAATGCATATAAAGTAAGCAATGAAGTTAAATGACAATACTCTTAACTCACAGAAAATATCTGTTTTATTTCATTTATAATATCTAGATGACTTTTCAACTCTAGTATTTCATTTTGGTAATTATCATTTGAACTACTAATTTATTACATTGAATTAACTCTACTTTGGTAAGCATATTTTGAACTAAAAAATTCACATTTCATAAGGTTAGTTTTGTGAGTATTTGCCCCTATTTCCAAAAGTTACACAAGTAGGAGAATGTCATTTCATTTTTGGTCTGTGGTTCAATCATAATTTATTCCTAGCACCACTCTTAATTGGGTCTGTGGGACTCTGTCCCTAGCACACCAAGAAGTTTCTCCATTCCATAGATCTCTCATTCCAACTTTAAATTGCTTTGGGAATTGGGGAACAATTACAACAACTGTTGCATAACAAATATTTACTCTTCCACATCTGTGGAATCTGGCGTTTTTGTTGAACTTGACCTTATTTCAGAATGCTGTCATGAATGCTAAGAAGAAAGTAACTGGGTCTTCTAGGATGTAGAAATAATTTTATCATTATACAGGTGAGTCTTGAATACCATGACACTGTACCTTTTCAATCTATAGTTAGAGCTATTATTAATATGAATTTGTAATGTTAATAATCTGGTATAATACAGATACCAGTTTATTATTATCAAAATACAGCTCTGAATCATTATTATTGATAGTATTTCATTATTATTTGTATAATGTCTCTTAATACTTAAAACAATTTCCTTATGCTATCTCATTTCCTGACAATATCCTTGCAAGGAAAGTAGAGCAGATATTTTTATCACTATTTAACAAATGAGAAGACTGAGGCTATAAATTAGGAGCATAGAACCTCAAACCAAAGACTTTTATTTTAGTCTGAGGCACTTTTCCCCCATGCTAAACCCATGTCATATATATATATTCCAATGAGTATTAGGTGATCCTCTATACTTACAGTGTGTAAACTGTTAATTATCTGTATAAGATGGCAGCTTGTTAGTACTGCCTGAAAGATACTTTAAAAAAATTAAAACCTGCTGCAAATTAAATATGACATATTGGTTTTCCTGATCATTAAGCCACAAATACTACATAGGCTAATTGCTTAAGAGTTTAGAAAGTCAGCCTTTATTTATTCAGTCAAACCCCCCATCTATTATGTGCAGCCACTGTTTTAGGCTTACCTGTTAGAGGGATGAGCCAGACAGACAAGCTACTTCTCCTGTGTCTCTTGTTATCTGACAATATAACAAGATAACCAGTTTGAAGAGAGCTGGGAGCAGAAGTAGCAAGACAAGTCTGGCTCAAGAAGGGTTTGAATTAGTGAGGGGTTCCTGCCTAGGTGGGAAAGGCCTGGACCTTTGGGTCCTACCTGGAACATCTCCATGTAGCCTAAGAAGTCAGTGTCTTGCTGTGTTCTTTTTGCATCAGTGACTAGGTTTATTAGAGTGCTCATGTCCCTTATCCAATGCATCCTCTGACTAATTTCTCAACTGGGGAGAATATTGATTTATTATAAGAAGTAGTGTAGAATAATTGTAGAATAATTGCCCCTTCCCTCTGGGCACTGTTGAATGAATGCAGTCAATTTGTTTTTGTGACCCCAATATTTCTACAGTTCTTGCTGAGGATTCCCTTCTCTTGATAATTTCTATATAATTTTAATGGTACCGGTTAGACATATTAGTAATGTAAAGATAATGGGCTTTGGATCTTTCCTCTGCTCTTTATTCCAACTGAACCAATTTCAAGGCACATAGGGTCCTGAAATAAGAGTTGGCTACGTAAATGAAATGAAGATCTACCTTCCTCCTTCCCTCCCACCTTCCTTCCCTCCCCTTTAAAGGAAGTTCTGGACTTAAGCTGAAAAAAATAAAAATTAACAATCTCTTTGTGGCTATTTTTTCAACTCTAAAATTGAGATCTTTATTTATTTTTTAAATTTTTAAAGATTTTATTTATTTATTTGACAGAGAGTGCACGCACAAGAAGGGGAAGTGGCAGGCAGAGGGAGAGGGATTGTGGGGCTTGATCCTAGGACCTGGAGATCATGATCTGAGCTGAAGGCAGACACTTAACCAACTGAGCCATCCAGACACCCCAAAATTGAGATTTTTATATTCCATTGTTTGTCTTTCTCTTTAGAGTTGAAATATTTCTATTGTGTATTCTTAACTAAAATTTTCCTTTACTGAGAATCCTTTCGTCAAGTTGGATTTCTGGCTCTAAGTAATACCTGTTCTACAGTAATTTTCCCAACTACCTGTCCCATGATAAACAAAGTGGTAGAATGGGGGAAGTGTGGCTCTGCTGAAATTCTCAAAACTGTTAGCTCACAGGAAGCCTAAATTTGTGATTTCGCCCAATGTTAAATCTGGTGGTGATTTTGGAAAGATCAATTTTCACATCTAGTCACTAATTAGTGACAACCCCATTAATATACATACCTTAATTCCTTGTGTTACATTTCTGATTAAAAATTCTCATAAAATCATAGTATGATGGCAATTTTTGGAGAGTACTAATACCACAGGGTCTAAGCCCTCAACCCATGCTCTGTGCTTTGTAATGATGGACCACTTCCTTACCAAAAGAAATGCCAAATTCTCTGCCCAAGCTTAGAGACTCTCTGTGTACCACTATCCTTTCCTTTTCAGATGTGCTCACCACCACCCCTCCACAGAAACTCCCTTGTCCAAAAAGGATGTGCTCTGTTTACTCCTGACTTTGGCTCAACTTCTCAGTTTTGGGCTACCCCACTTCTCCTCTTTTCTTACAAACCTTTCTAATTCTTCCTATGCTTCCAGATCTGACCCAAGTCTGAAACACTTCCCAAGTTCTCCTTTGCATGATTTATTTCTCATAAGCTTCTTCCTTATGGGAAAATTGATAATTTTCACTCAAACTACATAATGTAATTCTATTTATGATATGTTTTCATGTGTACTTTTCCTATATCCCTAACTGAATTGTGAGCTTTGTAATGGCAGACACTTTACATTATTCTTTAGTTTATCCTTACTGTGCTTGGAATATGAAGAAGTTTAAGGTAGGCTATCAGTAATATTCTAAAACTATTGTAGTAGTCTGGCACGAGTTTAAACTGTTTTTTTTTTTTTAAAGATTTTATTTATTTATTTATTCATGAGAGACAGAGAGAGAGAGAGAGAGAGAGAGGCAGAGGGAGAAGCAGGCTCCCAAGGAGCAGGGAGCCCGATGCGGGACTTGATCCCAGAATCCCGGGATCATAACCTGAGCCGAAGGCAGAGAGAGAGAGAGAGAGAGAGAGAGGGCACCCTTAAACTGTTTTTTTTAATGTGTCTTAGAGAGAGAGAGAGAGAGAGAGAGCTATAACAACATGATATGAATTTGGAGCTTTCTAGAGAGAGAGAGAGAGAGAGAGAGTTTTCCAGATTGGCATTCCATTCCATAGTAAGGAGAGAGAGAGAGAGAGAGAGAGAGAAAATCTGGATACTCCATCAATTCAGTGTAGATAGAGAGAGAGAGAGAGAGAGAGAGTCAAGACCTTAGCATAAGTACCACCTGTCCACTAGAGAGAGAGAGAGAGAGAGAGAGTCTGCCCTGAACTCTAAAGCAGAATCTAAAATTAGAGAGAGAGAGAGAGAGAGAGAGATGTATATGAAAACCAGTGAAGCTATGAGCTAGAGAGAGAGAGAGAGAGAGAGAGAGTCTATGTCCAACATGGGGCCTGAACTCACGACCAGAGAGAGAGAGAGAGAGAGAGAGACCTACTGAACTAACCAGGCACCCCTATGAACTAGAGAGAGAGAGAGAGAGAGAGAGCACTTTATTATTTCCTGTCTGGTTAACTTTGAAAGAGAGAGAGAGAGAGAGAGAGAGAAAAATGGGGCTAATATAAAGAATGATTATATTAGAGAGAGAGAGAGAGAGAGAGAGTACATACACATATATAATTATTTAAAATATTTAAGAGAGAGAGAGAGAGAGAGAGAGTGACTTTAACAAGTCAAGATACACTGTGAAGCTAGAGAGAGAGAGAGAGAGAGAGAGATGTAATGTTCTCCAAAGATTGTAACATTCATGAGAGAGAGAGAGAGAGAGAGAGAGCACGTAAGATACTAAGAGGGGGCTGGAATATGAAGAGAGAGAGAGAGAGAGAGAGAGCAGACATTAAATTTTATTTTATGCTATTCAATAAGAGAGAGAGAGAGAGAGAGAGAGTGCACAATTAACTGACTAACATAAGGTATATAGAGAGAGAGAGAGAGAGAGAGAGAGACCAAGTTCCCGTGAAATGGTGACCATGGTGTCAGAGAGAGAGAGAGAGAGAGAGAGTTGTTGAGTAGACTTGGCCATCTCCACTGCTTGAGAGAGAGAGAGAGAGAGAGAGAGCTCATAGTTGGTAATTAGTCAGGAGTTTAGAAAAGAGAGAGAGAGAGAGAGAGAGAGGCAGGATAGGTTACTTCTGTATGTTTGTCTGATCATAGGTAGAGCTTCGCATATTAGCAGTGGGCATCAGCACTTCTGTCATTTCCAATTAGAGAGAGAGAGAGAGAGAGAGAGTGTTGAAGATGACTGGATGTCAGAGCTTCAAGCAAACACTCCTTATAACACCATCTTAAAAAATGAATTGTTCAGGTAATTTGTAACATTTGTTTCTTGGCAATGAATATATTTTATATCAGATCTTCACCTGACATCCTGAAAGCAGATGACATGGATAAAATTAATCAGACGTTTGCATCAGAATTTCTTCTTCTGGGACTCAGAGAGAGAGAGAGAGAGAGAGAGATTTACTTTGTCCTAATTCTAGTAATGTATCTAAGAGAGAGAGAGAGAGAGAGAGAGCTGATCATAGCAAGCACCTTTGATTCCCGTCTTAGAGAGAGAGAGAGAGAGAGAGAGGGCAACCTCTCTTTCCTGGACATCTGCTATACAAGAGAGAGAGAGAGAGAGAGAGAGGTGAGCTTAATTTCAAAGAAAAGGAACATTTCCAGAGAGAGAGAGAGAGAGAGAGAGTTCTTTGGGTTTGCAATGGGCTCAACAGAGTGTAGAGAGAGAGAGAGAGAGAGAGAGGATCGCTATGTAGCCATCTGTAGCCCCCTGAGAAGAGAGAGAGAGAGAGAGAGAGAGGTGTATGTACTGATGGCTTCTGTGTCATGGCTCAGAGAGAGAGAGAGAGAGAGAGAGCAAACATCTCTTGCCATGCGATTGCCTTTCTGTAGAGAGAGAGAGAGAGAGAGAGAGTTATGTGAGATATTAGCTGTCCTTAAGCTAGCTAGAGAGAGAGAGAGAGAGAGAGAGATCACCATGGTGATATCAAATATGGCATTCCTGAGAGAGAGAGAGAGAGAGAGAGAGTTCTCCTATGTGTTCATTCTCTACACCATCTTGAGAGAGAGAGAGAGAGAGAGAGAGCGCAAAGCCTTTTCCACCTGTTCAGCGCATCTGAGAGAGAGAGAGAGAGAGAGAGAGACCATCTTCTTCATGTATGCCAAGCCCAAGTCTAGAGAGAGAGAGAGAGAGAGAGAGTTTCAAACTTCAGACAAACTCATTTCCCTGTTTAGAGAGAGAGAGAGAGAGAGAGAGAATCCTATAATCTATAGCTTGAGGAATAAGGATGTAAAAGCTGCTGTAAAATATCTTCTGAACTGAAAACCTATTCAGTAAGTATTTCCTATACAGAAAATGCAGGTCTTTGTGTAATAGGCATAAAGATGGACTCATAGGTCAATTAGAGAGAGAGAGAGAGAGAGAGAGTATGGTTAAGGAGAGATATTTTTATTCTTCACCAGAGAGAGAGAGAGAGAGAGAGAGTTTCTGAGAACTATAGTTCACTTTCAACTCAGTTTCCAAAATGTCCTGGTCTAGAGCTTACAAGCATGGCGAATCCATTAGAATCTCATCAGAGAGAGAGAGAGAGAGAGAGAGTTCTGGTGTCCTGTGTGGAAACATAATAGAAAAAGAGAGAGAGAGAGAGAGAGAGAGGGCAAGAGTACAAAATCTGCCATTTCACAAACTAGAGAGAGAGAGAGAGAGAGAGAGTTCTTCATAAGCAATAATTACCTTACTTGTAATAGAGAGAGAGAGAGAGAGAGAGAGCAGTGTCATTTAAAGTTTCAATAAATTGGAGAAAGCATCTAGCATAGTGCTACTCCACAGTGTCCTAGAATTTCAGAATTGAAGCTAAGAAGAGAGAGAGAGAGAGAGAGAGAGCTACTGAGCACCTCTTTTACCGTAAGCTAATAAAGAGAGAGAGAGAGAGAGAGAGAGAAAAGTCACTCTTGTTAATATAAATCATACTGTCTTTGGCTTTCCCCCTATACGTATATAAAGAGAAGCTCAGGCCCAGGGAAGAAATAAAGAGAGAGAGAGAGAGAGAGAGAGGGAGTACACAGTGGGTGGTGGGAGACCTTTCTCAGAGAGAGAGAGAGAGAGAGAGAGAATTGTTTTTTCCAACTCAAGTTAAGTGAGGCGAGAGAGAGAGAGAGAGAGAGAGAGTCTTGGATTCCTACAAAGACAGCCTGGCTTCTGAGAGAGAGAGAGAGAGAGAGAGAGGTTCTCGAGGCTGCAGGCTGGCAGAGGAGTTAGAGAGAGAGAGAGAGAGAGAGAGAGATTCTCTGCCAAATAAAACAGAAACGTTTCAAAAGAGAGAGAGAGAGAGAGAGAGAGTCAGCAGGAGTGGTAAAAACAATGACTGGGAAAAGAGAGAGAGAGAGAGAGAGAGAGAATGCAGTGAAACTCCTCAGTAAGTCTATTATGAGAGAGAGAGAGAGAGAGAGAGAGCTTGTCTAGAAGGCCATTGCTGAGCACAGGGTAAGAGAGAGAGAGAGAGAGAGAGAGTTCTGCCATCTCTTAGCCCAGTATGATAGCTGGAGAGAGAGAGAGAGAGAGAGAGAGTATTTCTCTTTCTTATTTTGTTTTGAAACGACAAGAGAGAGAGAGAGAGAGAGAGAGGAGTCTTCCGTCTTTGCCAGTCCACTGCCTTGGAGAGAGAGAGAGAGAGAGAGAGAGGATCTGGTCACTGAATTCTGCTGTTCTGCCACTAGAGAGAGAGAGAGAGAGAGAGAGCACTGCAGAAAACCTCCAGCTGCTGCTCTCTCTTCTGGGTTGGATCACATTAGTTGCTTTTGGTTCTATTCAGAAAGGCATGCCCTAGACAGAGAGAGAGAGAGAGAGAGAGAGTCTGGCACTTCTCCCCTCCTCCCTCCCCACTAGAGAGAGAGAGAGAGAGAGAGAGAGTTGTTTAATTCTCTTTAATTTTAGATATGAGACAGAGAGAGAGAGAGAGAGAGAGAGTGTTATTTATATTGTTTAAACCAACTCCTTAGCACTTTAATTTTTAATTGTTTCCCACATAATATCGAGAATGTTAGCATCTTATATACAAGAGAGAGAGAGAGAGAGAGAGAGACCTAATAAAATATTCCATAGGTGCATAAAAGTAGAGAGAGAGAGAGAGAGAGAGAGACAAGAATGATCATGTCTATCAGTGATCAGAAGAGAGAGAGAGAGAGAGAGAGAGAGGCCCTCTGTGGAAAATCAGAAAATTTCCAAGAGAGAGAGAGAGAGAGAGAGAGAGAGTTAATAAATATTTTTAAATTAAAAAATTATTTTAGAGAGAGAGAGAGAGAGAGAGAGTGGCTCTGTTGGTTAAGCCTCAGACTCTTGATTAGAGAGAGAGAGAGAGAGAGAGAGTTGTGAGATTGAGCCCCAGGTCAGGCTCTGCGCAGAGAGAGAGAGAGAGAGAGAGAGTCCTCTCCCTCCTCCTCCCCTTGAGTGTGCATGAGAGAGAGAGAGAGAGAGAGAGAGCTCTCTCTAAAATAAAAAAAAAGTAAAAAATGTAGAGAGAGAGAGAGAGAGAGAGAGATATCATTTTCAATATTTCTCCTAGACATTAGGAGAGAGAGAGAGAGAGAGAGAGAGTCACTTTAATGTACTATGAACAGTTAAGGTTAAAGAGAGAGAGAGAGAGAGAGAGAGATGTCCAATACCTATGGTTTCAAAGGATACATTAGAGAGAGAGAGAGAGAGAGAGAGGATGATATGAACTTTTTCTAATTTCTAGCTAAAAGAGAGAGAGAGAGAGAGAGAGAGCCCTAAATACCATTAGAAGAGTTTCCCCCAATAAGAGAGAGAGAGAGAGAGAGAGAGA